TTCATCAAGTTTTTGTTCGCCATGACTGTAAATGGAGAATACGTCATCAATATAACGCCACCAAATTATTGGTTTAAATTTGTAATTATTAATGAGAGTTGAAAAAATTTTCCATAAATACATTACTGAAAAAAGGGGATAGTGGTGACCCCGTGGCCATTCCAAAATTTTTTAAAGACAAACATTTTTGAGGCAAAATACCCAACAAGAAGTCTGTAAAAAATGAATCCGCCTCAACAATATAGAACTTATGTTTCTTCTTAGAAAAACTGATAAACTCCGTTAGCGGAAATTCCATTAGCTCGAATCGCAAGCGCTTTAATGCATTTTTGGACTAATACATGCGAGCTGGAGACTCCCACTCAAGACAATAGTGGAAAATGTCCATTAGCCTTTTTTTCTCGGTACTTCCTGAAAACTGATGCAAGGACACCGAACGCACAAAGGTCGCCTTTACAGAAACCCAATCAACCAAATCGTTACATGCAGAATATTCCCTAACTATATAATCTTTTGCTTTCGTGGTTTGAAGTCAGTTCTTGTTCTGTCCTCGTGGATTAACGCAAAGAAAACACTTTCGAAAAAATGTCCTGGCGTCGTGTTTTCAACGTTCTGGTCGTGTTCGCTTGCATATCCCAGGTGAGTACATATAAGAGGGCGTTTAATAAATTTTACGCACAAGTGACTAAACCGGTGAAAGTGAAACTGATTTGCCAAACACATCAATTTCTGGAAACTACTTAAAGCCTTTCCAGGTTATCTGCGAGGACCTGGAATTGCCCGAAAGAAAGCCGGTGTATAAATACCGATATGAAACTGCAGATATGATGAAAACTTCCGCCACTTCAGTGCCAGTTCGGGGCTACCATGTGGTAGAAGGCGGCTACTATCCCTCCGAGTCCGGAGTGGTGGGAACTGTGGTAGGACCTGTAGGAATAGGAGGAGTTGGAGGCGTTGGAGGCGTGGGAGGAGTTGGAGGATTCGGACACGGAGGTACCAATCCAAGCAACTCCAAGCTGCAAAATCTAACAGCGAAACTTCTAGGTTTAGTGGGAGGTGGTGTGGGCCCGGTAGGCTTCGGAGGACTGGGCGGTTTAGGAGGCATAGGCTCCTTCGGGTATGGGGGCCACATCGGACCGCAATTCATTGGCGGGGGAGTAGGACCCGGAATAGGCGCCGCTGGATTAGGAGGCGTCGGCTACGTCGCCCCTATTGTGCATGGATACGGTAAGAATCCCCATCCGCCCCTATTCCCCAGAGATAAAACCTGAGGACTTTCAGGAGGAGAAGATGTGGAAAAGAGCGAATTCAGTGCAGGGAAAAAGAACATCGAGGACGAAAAATTCGAAAAGGCGCATGGCAAAAAAGAAGAGGAAGCAAACCATGGCCATTCAGGGTGAGTCAAACATCGGACTTCATCAGAAAATCAATAAAATTAAATCATGTTTCAGATACTCCCAAGGAGGTCAAGCAGTCAAAGACGTTAAAGGCGAGGAAGGATACTACAGCAACAAAGCGGCAGGCAAAAACATAGTGGAAGATGGCAAACAGTATCAAGGAGGACAGCAATTTAACCAAGAAGGTAAAACACATCAGCAACTATTTCAACAGTTTTTAACACTAGAATATACCCAGGCCAAAACGGCGCAGAACACAAAATCAAAAAGGGGCACAAAAAGGGCCATGTGATCAAGGGATTTAAAACCTCTCACCAAAAGGATGAATCTGGAAAAACCGAAGAATACTATGACGAGGAGCACGACGAAGGAGCAAATCTGGCCTTCAACGGGCAGAATGGTCAATTCGGGCAAAAGGGCGCGTCTTCTTATAAGGTACTGTTCAAAAGCGCCGAATTGGGGCATTGGAAATGGGGTTGTAAAAACTCGTTTGTTTTCCTCAGGGAGGTCACGAAGATGGCAAATTCAACGAACAGGAACAGAAGAAAACTGGCCACCTCAGCAATCAGTATGCCGTCAACAAAGAAGCGGCTGATCAAGGAAAATATGGTGAAAACAAATACCACGGAGCTGGATCAGTCTATGGCGTCAACAACGGTGTTGATCAGCAAAGTTTGCTGGGGCACCAAGAAAACGCTAGGTGGGACTGTTTTTCGTACTCAAATTTCGCAACTCACTAATTCCCGGTTTAAATTCATTGCAGATTTATCAAACATCATCCGGTCCCCTTCTACAACTACTGATTGATGCTAAGCCATTCACGCTCTACTGTTAAGTTATTTATTTTCTTACTGATAGTTGATTATTTATTGTTTAATAGCGAGTCTAGTGTACCTTAATGATTTATTTTGAATAGTGTACACTCGTAGCGCTCCGACAAAGTTTCGGCAGAAACATGGCTTTTTTGTACGTTTGTGTTTAAGCAAAAATAAATTTATATTTATTCGAAAGGTAGTTTGTTGCTTGTACCCACAGAGATCTGCAAACAAACGACTGATCAATCTAACCATGACTAAAAGCGTGCAATTTAAATTAACAGTTGCTCTACGTCTAGGTAGAAAGATACGCGGGTTCAAGTAAAATTGGGGCGAAAAAGTGACTTTAAAGCTTTTCAGCTCAACCAGTTCTATTAATATGAGCCAAAGGTTAAGAACGGTTCTCAACATCTGCATTAATTTAGAATTTTACTATTTTGCGTAAAAACTAGAAATTTTTCTAAAATTATGCTTGGTATAAAAACACACACACACACACGCAAAATACAGCTGAACCAATTCTCTAAATATGCGCCCAAAACTAAGGACGGTTCATAACACCCGGATTGATTTACAAATTTCGTAATTTGCCTGGTATAAAAAAAACTCATCCGCAATTTTTTGGAATTTCTGTATATTTTCCGCGAAAAATAGAAGTTTCTAAAATCCTGTTTGGTATAAAAAGTGCACAATTTAAGGATCTATTGCAAATCGACAACTAGAGCCTTGTAGCTCAACCAGTTATGTAAATATGAGTAATTTTTCAACCAAAACACATTGATTTCCAAATAGATAGATAAATTTTAGCAATAAAAATCAACCAAATTTTTTTTATACATTTATTGAAGGTCAATTCTATATCCTAGCTACTTCGAAAAATATACATAGATTTTCATAGTCATGAACCTATTGGGTGAGCAAACAGAGATCGGCTTTTGCGAGCCTCTACTGAATAAGAACTGAAAGCTATATCAATTGATCAGTTCGGCTACAATAAACTATCATTTAAATATAATAAACTAACTGTAAAATAAATATAAAGTGTATATTATGAGATAAAGCACCCCTGAACATATTAATGATCATTAAAGTACTGGAAGAAGTGGAAGGAAAGGAGTAGACAATTGAACTAACAAATAAGACATCACAAACGTATCAGTTCAAAAAAAATTAAATCAATATACAGTTGTATAGATAAAGTCTTTGGTAAAATGGCCACTGGCAGTGGATTCCACTGTTTGCGTTTATATAATTGCACCTACAGTTATAAAAAAAAATGTACATCAATTTGTTCGCAACTAAATTATGGGAGCGCAACAATTACAGGGAATGGAAAAACTGTATCTGTAAAGGTACATGTCCCGGTTAGTTCCTGATGCTCCCATAGAATAATGACTAGAAGGAATGTAATGTAGCGCTAATAGGTGAATGTGTTGTGACTAGGAAAAACAGCAATAGCTTTTAGATGTTCGGGATCTTGCTGGTTACGATAACGTTTTGTCAAGAAGATTCCTACCACCTAAAACGAGTCGAAAAAATATTAAAATTGCCCTGTTGATGGTTGAACTAGAATAATGCAAGCGAAATACCCAAATAAGCTGCCTGGAAAATGTAAATCTTTCATGCAATTTACACGTTTGGAGCTATCAAGAGTGAATGAACATGCAACAGACACATAGCATGATTAAATGAATAGCGAAAGCAGACGAGAATAAGCGTATTATTCCAAGTAAACCCACCATCCTGTACTAGACCCTGAATGTTACGATACTATAGGAAAGCACTTGGGTTAGCTCGGGGATCCTTTTGGTTACGATAACGTACGGTTAACAACACTCCCATAAACTATAAACAGAACATACCAAATAAGTAGGTGAAAATCAGGCAACAGATTAAATTATTTACCAAATAATATTCAATGCAAAGTGACTCATATCTGATTTATTCACGAATAAAATTGTTTAATATTCTGCGTTAATCAGGACGGGACGTTGTCTCGGGTTTATTCAAGCGGGACGTTATTTTAGATTTTTTCGATCACAAAAACTATATGAACTGTGCGGAAGACTGTTAATATGACAAGCTTCTTTAAACATTATCGAATGCCAGTATAAACTGACTCTGAATGGAAAGTTTTAGGAGCGAGACATTTTAATAAAATATAGAGAAAATGCCTTGTGCACACATGAAATGAAACCACGACATTTTCGTCATATAACAAGCTCAGTATTACAATTTTTCTTGTTTCAAATTGAGCCACTAAGCAATTAACCATCCCCTTCTTTACATGAAAAAAAGTTAAAAACGAGAATGTCTACCTCAGTGAAACTGAAGAATAAACCAATCCAACCACACAGTTGAAATGCGTAACTGATCGTGCTTTGCAATTTGTGTAAGCACCCTCCTGGACAGTCACACACTTTGTGCTCAGCATCTGAACAACATCTCATCTAATGAATAAATCAATTGGTATTAATGAGCGGAAATTTCCAAGTGTGAAAATCGTCAATACTCTTACTGTAACATCAAAACATTCTGGATGTGGAAGCAGCTTATCGACTTCTGCATCAAAACCACAACATGTGAATGTCTTCTGCACATTAGCCCTAGTCGCATTGTCCACTCTACAACAAAATGTGCATGCATAGTTCTTTAAAATGTTGAGATTCAATTGATGGTGTATATAATACCTATTCCATCCCTGCTGGGCCAACTGTTCTTGCTGAGACTGATTGACGCCCAAACAGGCACAAGCCACGGAAAATTGGATGAGGAATAAGAGAAACAAAATCAACATATACTGTAAACTGGTTAAGGACCGGATCGCATTTCGAATATTGAGTAGAAATATAAAATTTTTACCCATACCATGCATGCCCAACATTTTACATGATTTGAGTGAAATTTTCAGGGCTTTCAGCTTCAATTATCTCCTACAGGACGGGCGATTGTTGTTTGTTCAATTGTTCACTTTAACCCATCATTTGCAGCGTAGAAAAAATCATAATTTTATACGATTTGAGTGAAATTTCCAGGATTTTTAGCTTCAAGTGGATTTTGTGAAGTCAGCGAATTTCAAGTTGCTGCTGCCTATGGTTACAGTTTTGAATTTAAAAAATAGAGCGTGCACTTAAATGAATCTGTTAATTGTTGACCCATTTTTTACATGGTTGGAAAAAGTATTGATTTTGTACGATTTGAGTAAAATTTTCAGAATTGTAGCTCCAAGTGTCTTCTTCAGAAGCCTTTTAACTTCAAGCTTCAACATTCAAAATTTGCGTTTTAGCGTTTCTAGTAAAAAACCGGGATATGTGAATAGCCCTCCTTATATACTGATCACATTTTGAGTAACAGTAAATTTGAAAGTTTAGAAAGCCTGCAATAAGGCGATAAAGAAAACCAGGTTCGAGCAAGTAAAACCCACGTCTCAAGAATCCAGGACGGCAAACAACCTTCAAATTATGAGGAAACGTCGTTTCAGAAAATTCTTATCTTATTCAGGCTCTTATCAAGTTAGTATCGGTGGATCGATGTTCACATAAAGGATACGAAGAACAACATCACCTGGTGATGTTTGACTGCCCCCATCATCCCCAATAATGATATGAGGATAAGAATAATTCCACATGCCAAAATGCCGCCTATAATTGGTAAATTTGTGACTAAGGAAGCAGCCCTTCCATAAACTGCTACCCCTATAAGTATAAAAGCAACAACCTGCAAAAAGTACATCAAAAAGGGGCACTTTTGTTCATGTTTAGCATTCAACTTACTATATACAGCATGTTAAGTGCTATTAGAGCGTTTTTCGAGCACGTAAACCCGCCGCACATATTTACAATTTTGTTATGGTTTTCTGGCGATTTTCAACACTGACAGGAAATCGACTTTCCAATAAATAAACAATGATCACTTGACTTTGAATTTTCCTTTTTGACATTCATCTCGGAAAATCGATGGAAAGTTACTCGGCAACGTTGCTAGGGCCTTGTATTATTTTACTGAGTTTTAAATACTGTGAGATTGTTTATGTCCACTCCTATTCAATTACCATTTACTAACGCTAATTTGCGAAACCCAAAACCTCTTTATTAAGAAAGTGAAACTATTGCCTCAGCCCATGTACAACTTGATAAGCAACGTTTCGACCAATTTGCAACCATCATCAGGATGTCGAATTAATTTATTCGAGCATCCGCATGAGACGACGAAGAACGAACTTTAAACCCGCATGCGGATGTGTTTCTAGGTTAGGTAGAAGCCAAAAAGTAAAATAAGCTTAAAATTTAATTGAAAGTATTTCCTATGGAATAACTGTTGCTCTGAAAAGAGAATGCCAGGAGCTATTATGGAATGTCCGGATTTTGGTGAATTTCAGGTATATTTTACTGAAAACCATCAAAATAAGCCCGTTTCTTTTATAAGCCCCTTTTAGGATGCCCTTAAACTTATGCGTAAAACTGACGATATTATAGTGAACACTATAAACTCGGCGATTCCAACAAATTCATTCCATGCCGATGAAACTAACGCCTGTAAAAGCGTCTATGAGCAAATTCAGCAGGGGCATGAGAGAAGGGAGAATTACATAAAAAACTGCATTTCTGTAACTTCAGGAAATGTACAAAGGTTGAAGAATGAAAGAGAAACTAAGTCTGATATTCAGCCATTGTCCAAGCAGTTAAGGGCTGAACAAACGAAGGTAATTGAAATTATATAATAGCGACCTACTCCTGAATCATTACGGGTTTCAATTTCAGCTGAGAATGTTGCAAGTAGAACTATCAGTAGAGGATCTTATTAAGGAGAGATCGATGAAGGTTTTCAACGAGAGATGCCGCAAGTTCTTCCGACCATTATGATATTTTACCGCTACCAGTTTTGTATAGTAGAAAAGCCCCCTTTATAATCTTTTTACAGTAGCTAATTAACTTGTCTCAATTGCTCAGGCTTTCATTCAGTTCACCCAATCAACGAGTAAAAAACTGTAGTAGTCCTCACACAATCCTTTATTCTGAAATTATACAGAACACTATCGCTTTCTGCGTAATTGCAAAGAGTTCCTTCTGAGCCAGGCAGCCCTTCTGGAGCCTCCCTTTGTCTGAGAATATCTGTGACCTTTGCCCAATCCTCGGGACGATTTGCCAGCAGAAGTCAAGCCTCTGAGTTCCCGACGCTTGTGTACAGCGTTAACAATCCAGTTAACCTTAGGATCACGTCTAATAGCCTAACAAAGCAAAAAAACATAAAATTATACCTTCGATGTCTTATAGTCTTCGATGAACTACAATTCTCTGATGAATGAACGATAAAATGTAGCATTGCTTTAGATAGTCTTTAACAGTACAGGTTAAAAACATGCTGGCCAATGCAAAACTATCTAGCACTGCTGCAAAAGTTAACAAACACTGGGAAGATTGAGAACTGATCGGCAGTGCCTTTGGGCGATAGTTTAGAAACGCAAAAAGCCCCAAAACACTTACGTTGTGTGCTGGGTCGACTAAAATAACTTCGAAGTATTTGTATGAAGAGTCTTGGGCCACCCAGTAGGAGTTCAGTACTCTCAAACCAGCGCATCGTCTGCCAACACGCTCCTAGAAAAAAAATGCTGGTGAAGAATTTTTGAAATAAACCTGCTGACTCTATTATTTGCAAAACGAATCATCACAGTTTTTAGTTCGTGCTTTACTGCCTTAAAAAGCAACTGAGATTCGATATTCCCGTAAAAAAGGTGGAACTTCATAAATTTACAGGGAGACAAAGTCACAATTATATACAATTGCAGCGAAAATTTCAGCTTCCAGGGTTCATTCAGTTCTTCTACAGAGCTCTAGTTTGGAACTTTTAAAGAAAAGCTTGCTCTCGAGTTGCGTTCATTTTCCATCACTTACAGGGTGGTTAACAATCAGAATTTTATCCGATTTGAGCAAAATTTTCAGAATTTGTACGCAAGTGTCTTCTACCGAGCGGGCGAATTTCAAGTCGTTACTTGTTCTGGATTGGAACGCTACTACTGGATTTTTCATCCATTCATAACAGGGTTTTTAAAAATCAAAATTTTAATCAATTTGAACGAAAATTTCAGGATTTTTGGCTTCAAGCGTCTTCTGGGGTGAGCTAATATTTAAAGTTGCTACCGGCTCTAGATTGAAAATGACGAATTTTAAAGAAAAGCGTGCAGAAAAAATTTAGGCAAATCATACATATATATATGTAAAAGTAGATAACTAGTGACCAGAAACCTGATTCCTGAGAAAACATAGATCAGTTAATTCATACTAATTTTGAACCTCATCCCACTTTTTGTACAATACGAATTGTTATTACACATCCATTGTTTAGAACGCAACTCTCGTGTTGTATAGAAAGTTACCTCTATCCATTTTCATTCGAATAAGACAGTCAATAATAATGCACGAAGTTTTGTCTGAACGCCGTAACTTCAATGAAACTTTGCAGGTGTTGCACGTTCACGAGATTCACAAAGCACAAAAGAAAGCCCCGAGTATTTGTACGTACATATTTGAAAATCAGTTAGATTTAAAACAAATGAAACATGTAAGGAACTTGAAGATGATAAGGTCGACGTAAAATCACTTCAACAGTTCAGAACACTGAGACTAAAGGGTTTCCTAGAAATTTAACTGAAGTTTTACCTCGGCAATGGATTGAAGATTGCGGACTGGCTTCAACTCATTTACTCCATGTCCTTTAGGTTTACCGTAAGTGGCACCTTTTGGTACGGGACGCTTACGTCCACCACGACGAACGCGAATGCGGAAGATTACAAAACCTACAAGAATATAATAAGAAAGCGTTTCTTAGTTTTGCACGTTCAGTTCAGCTCCATACCTTGTTTAGCCCTGTATCCCAACCTCCTGGCCTTATCAGGGCGGCTGGGTCTGGGAGCACGATGGATCTTGGTTAGTTGGCGATATTGCCATACTCTAATCCTCAACAAGAACCTCAACACATCACTTTGCTTTTTCCTGTATAATTCCTGGATGTACTTGTAAGCACCCATGATGGAAACCTTAAAGAAAAATAGAACTTACACTTTCGTGAAGTGATACGGAAAAAATTACATAAAATACACGACGCAAGTTAGAGACAGACTAAGGACTATTCGACAAATACATAAAAACAACTTTTTCCCTTAAAGATGTACCTAATTTTAACAGATTAGTTAAAATGTGAATTCAAAACATACCCACAAATACAGCAACTTCCAAAGAGAAACTGACAAAAATGTCAAATGCCGACTGGTAGCCAACTTAAATTTCTCACTTTTAAGCGCCACAAATTACAATGCTGCCAATAGAAGAAAAGCTTGTTCACTGATTTGTTGATTGTTGCAGGTAGTGATGGCGCTATCGAGGAATTACTTATTTGATTTGAAATCATTAAATTAAAATTTGAAAGGCTTCACACGTCCTTAAATCCCGGTAAACACTGCTAAATAATTTGGGAAAGAATCGTCTTGTCAATAATTTTTGCGATTGGTGCCTTATCCTGCATCCTTGTTCGATATCAGTCAAATCTTAATCAACTTCTATACCGTTCTCTCTCGACTTTAGTTAAAATTGACCTGTTTGAAAACATGACTCAAATTATATCTCCTTTTAATAGCAGTAAACGCATGTATCACTTCTCCTTTTACGGTAATGTGAAAAGCACTGACAAATTATTAGACTCATTGAAAAAAATTATTCCAGTAAATTTGCTTCTTTCCATTATCGAATAAATCGATTATGCCCATTACTCCAGTGACAAGATCTTCTACTACTTCTACTTCTTCTCGTGCTTTCATTTTTCTAAGGAATCGTTACAAGATAACCTATAAACTAGAAAATATATATGTGTCAGTTACCAAATATAAACACTTCACATTTTTGAAAACAATTAATTTGTTTTAAAGAACAAAATGAGTCTTCATTCAATAGCTGGTAAATGAACAGTTTCCAATCCAATTGATTTATTGAACAGTACAGTTTTTAGACTATTTCGATGACATTGCGCGACGAAGGAACAAAAATCAAGACTACTCAAAACTACCAACCAGAGATAATGGGTTTGTAGATGCCCAGTTTCAGGGCCCAGCCCAAAAAATTCCATGGAAAGCCATTGCATTGGCCACCACGCTGTTGGGTAAGTGTCTCGTTTCAGCCACACACCCTGTAGGATTTCAACCTGCTTTCAGTAATCGGAACCAGCCTTTTGGTGTTTGGTTCCTTGGCCATTAGTGGCCGCATCCAATTGGAGTATCCAGACCGAATGTGGCCAATGATTATCATTGGAATCATCATGTTTATACCGGGGGCTTATCACGTTAGAATCGCTTATTACGCGTATAAGGAAATCCCGGGGTTTTCTTTTGATGACATTCCAGAATTTGAATAAGATAAGGTGGTGATTAAACGTAGAATGCACCAACAAACGGATCTGGAATTGCACAGCTTCATTTAGTGCGAATCTAGTTGAGTAACTCTTAAATATTATAAGTGCCTGACTTGGAAAGTCTTCTTCATGTGCAAAGGTTGCACATTTTCTAATGAACAAGTATATTAATATGCATATGAAATCACCATAATAAAAGAACGTTTTAATAACAACGCTATGGTCCGATTTAAACTTACATATTTCTATATCACCACCATTTCCACTCTCCAAACGTTTGAAATCCCCAAATCTAACCCAGCGATTTCTAATCATTATACCAATCCAAAAATAGCAGACTAAAAGACATGACTAGCAAAAAGAATAAAACATACACTCTCAAGCCAGCGTTCCTTTGGATAGCTTGCCTAATTTGCTCGTTCGCGTCCTTCACATTTTCAGTTGAATCCACTACACTATAAGAAATTCTTTCAATGTCCTTTTCCTGCTGTAGAACTTTTTCTGTGAACAATTCTTGTAGTTCTGCTATGTGAACCACTTTGCTCTCCATTTGTTTCACCTTTAAAAATGTATTTCTTTAGTTTTACGCTGCCGAGAAAATCGATTGATTCCGTTGAACTTACCTCATCTGAAATGCTGTTTAGTTCATTGTATAAATGCTCATTCTCCTGCTCGAACATCTGCATGTCTTCAGGGCTCAGTTCCTCTTCATAGTCAGTTGACTGGATGGGAACTGAGACTTTTTTGGAAAAATCGCCAGAACCGTCCTTAGGCGCATTTACAATGTCCAGACTCTCTTTACGTGAAGGCTGAATTTCCAGTTTGGACAATTTATAGGTTTCTATGACGCGTTTCACTCTCACTGCCTTTGCTTCCGCATATATTTTGGAGACGCTTTTCAAATACACTTCCAAAGACTCAACGATGCATTGATAGTGCTCTTCCTTCTGTTTGCTCATTTGCAATGCTCTAATATCCCTTTTGTACTCATTAATCAGGTCTGTGCAGGCGCTGATAATACTCCTCGCCTTCTCATCCACATTCTCCCTATCAATCTCTGTCATGGTCTTATTGGTGGACAAATAGTTAAGGACGTTCAAGTAGGCCGCTTTGTTTCCCAACAGGTACGTCTGCAGGCTGGAAATGTGCTTAACGATCTCCTTGGCTTTGGTAAGATTCCCATCTTTAGGGTTGATTTTTAAAATGTTGCTTTTTGCCTCTTGTAGCCCCAAGCTCTTGTTGGTTACTTTTACAGTCTTAACACAGGCCTTGAAAAGCGTTGTTAAATCCATGTTTTACTTACAGGCATTGATTTTTCCAATATGTTTCTGTTTTGTTGATGTTTACCGTTGACAAATCCATAGATAAAGACGAGTAATGGACAAATCATCAACTTGTCAACTAGGGTTATGTTGCCAAAATTGACTAAAACAGTATAGCCAAACACAGTAACGATTTCTGCTTTTAGAAAGTGTGTATGTGTGTGTGTGTGTGTGTTGGTGACATTGAAGCACATGCCATTTGTTTTTTTTGGAATGGGATTTGAGGTTAGATTTTACGTTTGTTCTTAGCTGTAAGTTTCTGTTGTTTTTAATTTATAATGAACAGAAAACGGAAAATCAAAGACTCAAAAAGTGATGAGTTTGAGTTCGATCCAATGCCGAAGCATATGGTGACCGCTCATCTCAAAAACCAAGAAAAAAGGCTGATTATAGTCTTACACGATGCACAACTGGAAACTGTTAAGGTAAGTTTTGTCTTCAATGTGCTTATTTCATAATGCGGGGATTCATTTTCTAGGTGGGCAACAAGTTCGAGCTGCTAAACTGCGACGAACACACGCATATTTTAAAAAAGAATAACCGAGATGTCTCCTCCTGTCGACCAGATATCACTCACCAGTGCTTGCTTATGCTATTAGATAGCCCCCTTAACAGGGCTGGACTTCTGCAGGTCTATGTTCGCACTAGCAACAACGTTCTTATCGAAATCAACCCCCAAACGAGAATCCCCAGGACTTTTAAGCGATTTGCTGGTCTCATGGGTGGGTATTTGCTTCCGCATTGTCTGCTATTGGACAAATAAGCTCAATTAACTCTTCTGGAATTTCAGTTCAGCTGCTTCACAAGTTTTCAATAAGGGCGGAAGGAGGTCCCAAACTCCTGAAAGTAATCAAGAATCCATTAGTCGACCACCTTCCGGTGGGAGTGAGGAAAATTGCCATGTCGTTTTCGTCAAAAGTTGTAAAGAATTGTCGCGATCTGGTTCCAAAGACTGAAGATCCTATTGTAATAGTAGTAGGAGCCATGGCTAGAGGAAACCTTGACGTAGACTATGCAGAAGAGACGATATCCGTAAGCAATTACCCTCTGTCTGCAGCCTTGACTTGTACGAAACTCTGTTCAGCCTTTGAGGAAGAATGGGGCGTATTGTAAGTATGTTAGAGATTGTACAGTTTTATACAATTGTATTAAATACATATTTTAAGTACTACACGGAATTTCTAATCCACCACGAAAAACATGGACCTGTGAGTTCTGAAAATGGCACTCAATTTGCAATATTCCCTGATTTGCAAAGTTCACATTTTTCGAAAAATTATAGAAAGCAAACTTCAAACTAGAGTATAAGGAAATATGGGTGTTGTTTATAGAAATGTGCATTTTGTAGAGAAAGTTTGGGTTTTTGAGTTGCAAAAATGTCGTTCAACTCGCTTTTTTATGGTTTCCGTATTGAAAGTAAAAGCTAAAATCGGCACGAGCCGGTATTTTCAAAAATTCCAATCTAGAAAAGTAGTAAATCTCGAAAATTGTTTCAAACTCTATTTAATAGAGAAAATGTGGGTTTGTCTAAAACTGAATTTACTTCAGTTTGCTTAGATTTTTGAAGTACTAAAATCTGTTTTAAACTTTGATGACTAGGCAACATTCATAAGACGCAAACTATAGGGACTAAACAATATAGGTTTAGCGAATTCAATCCGCAAAGTCTATTGACTGAATTAAACACCGAATATCAAGCAGTTTCCTATATTAAGCGTATTTATGTTCAATCCGCTACAAAATTAGAATCCCGACAGGTTTAAACATCATGAGCACCTCTTTGTATTCCTCAAATGGTCTTAATAAGAAATGCCCAAACGGAAATTGAAATTAAACCGCACACATCCGTCGCCATAAAACACAATCCTTTTTCCAAGCTTTGAAATTACTTGAGCGCAGAGGAATGATGAAATAAAACTAAGTCATCTTTATTGTGACATCGCTATACTTTATTGAAAAAGGGAAAATAAAAAGATGTCACTGCCAAACATTAGAAAATATTGTATTTTATATTACATAAAGTTATTATAAAGTAAAAACATAATTGTATAATGAAAATGGTACTATTTCCAAATTTGTCTGTTCTAACAATTTGCAAATATAATCTTAAACATATACAACTTATGTACATACATTGAAATATCATGGATGTTATACAACACGTTTAGATAATTACAGGACGCTATCGCGAATTGGCTGGAAAAGAGTTTGAAATAAAGTAAAAAAAGATCAGTAAAATGTTGGTTTCATTCCATGATATCTGCAATAATAACGACCCAAATAAATCTCAATTAACTAGTAGCTAAGTTCTTTGATGAAATACAAATTTGATGGCGATAGAATTTGTTACACGAGAACTGAAACAGGGTGGATGGAATTTGTAACAAGACACACCGTAACAAATTCTATTGCCGTTATTACTAGTCACAGTATTCATTATAATACTAGAAAACGAATTTGATAAGACAATAACCTTACGAATAATTTGATACTCTATGATACATGTGCATTTGAATGAAAGGCCCGTTCAATATAGAACATAAGTAATGTCAAATTATTGCTACCATATTACCATTCATACCCGCGAGCAATGGCTAAGTTAACCGAACGGAGTAGCAAAAAATTGCTACCTCTTTAGGTAACACTTTTATGTTGCTAACAATACACAGCAGGTGCGTGTTTCTGACTGATTTAGATGGAATGTGCAATTAAAGGGGACAAATTTGGATTCGCTTGCAGCATGTTTTTAAAAAAGTCTAGAGCCTATTTGGAAAACCTAAGAAAGATTAATTATCGTGCAAACTATCAATATTTACGCAAGGCAATGCAACGCAACAATTACACAATCCTGCCGTTATCCTAGCGAGAAAATTTTAATAAAAAAATAAAAATTGCCTGAATGAACTGTGCATTTCACACTGAAAACTGTTCCAGTTACTAAAAATCACTACTCCTAGTTTTAGTAACTGGAGCACATGAGCATCTTTCACACAATGTACGAACGTTTAACTGAATGTCTGAAATGGCGCCTCCCAAGTCATAAACTGTACAAACCAATAAATTAATGCAAACATCTTTATTAAATAAAAAATCGAAGTTTGTACCTAATTTAATCAATTATAATAAAATTAATTAACAATTGAGTTGTCGGATTGGAAATCCCCAACGGATCCGGGTCAGTGTCCAAACTATGGACATTTATGTCCTTCATGAGAAACACTATATTTGTTCTTATGGACATAACTAATAATACGAAAATTATTTCTCGATTAAGAAGATATGACTTTAACACTAAAATCCTACCATTATTTCTGTGTGCTCAACCGAGTACTAAAATGCTTTAACTTTAGTATTCGGCTTGAAGGCTGAAGCTACTTTTAAGTAGGACAATATTTTTATATTCATATTTCAATAAGCCGCGAGGTTAATGAAAATATTACTAGTCATTTACGTGGGACTAGCGGGTCTTCCAATCCGAAACTATAATCACTCGTATCATATTCACATTAATTCTTCACCTACATCTAGAACCCAAGTTATTTACACGTATTGTTTCATATTGATTTAATATGTTTTATATACAGTTATAAGTAAAATTTACATAATTATTACAGCTAAATATAAGAACTACGTGTCACATAGTCACGGAGTTGGCTCACGAAGAAATTACATAGTTTTTTGTTCATGCAATTTGTTCGTAAGCCAATTGGCTTACCAGTTTTAAAAAAATGACTGAGCTCAATATTTTAGCCGTTCACAATTCAGTATTGGATTCCCGGGTTGTAAATATCGAATACTGACCATTTTTATGGTAGTCAGGTTTTTAAGGTTGAAGTCAATAATTTTATAGTTAATTCTATATTCCTGAAATATACCTAAAAATGATTTAGTCAGGTGACTATAGAGATAGTGACGTGGCCAAATCATTAGAGAGACCAGTCATCAATCAGTAGAGACTGGAATTCTGTCATTGTAAAGAGCCTTCGAATGCTGCCATGAGATCACTTTGCAAATTCATGTCGATTTTATTGGCCATCTGCAATAAAAAAAATAATAAAGAAATCGGAAATACAGTATTTTTTGCTGTAAGAGTGCCAACAACTTTCTTTTAACACCGTGTAATCCCCGCTGTGTACTGGGAATAACTTAATTTGATCAAGTTTCCAACTAATAAACCTTAACAACAAACTGTTTTTTTTATGATTAAATGAGATCTTACCACTTCTCGCCGTCGTCTTTCCTGTTCTTGCAATCTTTGTCTTTCGCGGTCGGATATGCGATCTGACCCAGAACTGAGAGAACTAGGCGACGAGCTGTCTTCTCCAGGCGACGATTTCAATTCTTCAACGCGGGGAGTTGGTGTGGGCTTTTCTCTTTCGGCTACCGCTTGCCTGATAATAAGTTGCAATGAAAACCAACGTCTCTCCATTTCGCCTTTGAGTACGCTTACCGAGCCTTTTCAAGTGCTTCCTGCTCCTCCATTTCCCGTCTTCTTTCGTGTTCCTGTCTTGCTCGTTCTCTTTCCGCCTGCTCTTTCTGTTGCCTCTTCAGCTCCAATGTTTCTAATCTTTGTTTCTCTCGGTCTGCCTTTTCCTTGGCCTTAGTTTGGAACACTTTAAAGCTATCCATTACCTGTAACAATAAACACTCAATGTAATCTACTGCAAAATTTTTCCCAATAAAATGCGGTGAATTACCATAGGTCCAGGCCTCACCTGCTGCTTACTACTATTCCCACTTGCATTGTTTTGTGGGGAATTTGCTTTAGCCAAACTGCTCCATGAGCTAGCATTTTTAACATCAGATTTCATCTTGTATCCGCCTCCCACCGCACCAAACGATGCCAAAGATTTCGGGTCTGCCATTGGGGGTTTCTTATCGGCCAGTGCAAAAGACTCCGAAGTTTCAAGCTTTATTAGCGGATTTTCTTTCTTAACTTGCAAATTATTCAAATGTGTGGGCAAGGGATCGAACATGGAGGGTATGGATACGTCCATAGGGAGGCCGCCCATTGCGGACATGCCATTACTGTTCGAGTTCATTGAGGACTCGAATTCATGCTTTATGCCGTAGCCATTGTTTTGGGCATGCACTGTCGAATGCTGACTGTGCGGATGACCCTGAAAAAACATTTTGGTTTTTTAAATCAAGGACTAACAATCTTCAAAGGATTCAGAACAACTTTAAGCTGATGTTACATGGAGAAACATAACATGTTTGCCACTGCCACGTGTTACTATTGTTAGTGTGTAAGTTGATGTTAAAAATCAAGTAAGAAATAGTTTAATATTTTTTTTGTAAAAACCGAAGCACAGTAAATGTTATCAGTAAATCTATCGAACAAACTGAAATTACCAAAATTTGACTTAGGGTGGATGTTTATTCCACTACCGGGTGTTCGCCGTCAGAAATTATCTCTGTATAAGATAGTAACACTAATTATTTCTGTTACAGCAAAAATAAAATAAAATATGATCACAACCTCAACACGAAACGAGTATAAACATTGATAAATGGAAGAATTGTAAGCCGAATCCAGTGGAAACCAATTAGTTTTAATAGTTTTTAAATTTTGGAATTCGTGTAAAAACGTTGCCTTCAATGTTTAGATTATAGAAATTAGGTGGGGCTCATATAGTTAAACACGTCGTTAATGCAGGCCTGGCGACGATTTTGAATTCTTGATCAATTTGCAGCTTTTCCGAGTATTTTTTTACTTTTTTAATCAGTATTTTATACAGATAACGTCTAAGATTTGCAAAATAAACTTTCGCAAATGAAGTCTCTTTGAACCAAATGGACTATTTCTACGAATCATAAGAAATGGGTCAAATAGTGGTTGCGAAATTAAAAAAGTGAATTCAAATTCAATTAAATTGCCATCAGAATTAATCAACAATTTTTCTAATTTACTGAAAAATTGCCTGACGCAAAAAACCGGCGCGGATGTAAAATGCACGGGCAAAATTAAGTGCAGAATTAGCGAGTGTTCGAAAGCTGGAACGCCAAAGATTTTTACCAAAGAAAACCTCTGAGGGCTGAAGCAATACCGAAAATTTAATTGTTATTCAGACAAAATATTAGTAACAAAACAGTCAACATACCATTCCTACCTGGTGCATTAAGCTTTGCATATCTTGATCCATGTGCAAGTTGTGATGCTGCGGGCCGCTGAGAGAATTTGGAGGCAACGCAACTGCTCCCAATAAGGGTTTGATGTCCAAATTGGAACCCATCTGATTAGACATTCCCATGTGATGCTGAGGCATATTGGGCGCCATCGTACTAATTGTTGCAACCGCTTGATTCACCTAGCGCAGAAACATTAGTATAACTGCAAAAAATGTGCATCTAAACTGTCGCATACTTGACTGATAGTCGACATGGCTAACAAAGTATTAACCGGTCCATTTTTTGTAATGTCGTGTTCCAAACTTGCTAAGCTTTCTTCTAGAGGATCCGCATATGGCAGAGGGCCAGCAGTTACAGGCGATAGCAGATTCGTGGGCTTCGGCTTATCCGGTGAGGGCACAGCAGAGGCTTTTGAGTTATTAGAGGAGGGCATTGCAACAGGCGACGGTATCGTTGGCGGTTTGTCTACAGGCGAATGTTTACGGACTGCAGGCATTGTCATAGTTAACGGTCCTTTAGGAACAGTCGATGGACCGTTAGTGGCGAGTGGCGCAGCAGCAAATTGTGCAGGAGTTAAAGAATTCGAGGCTGCAGAAGACATTGCTGCAACTGTTGGCAATGCGCCGTGGGCGGGGTGGTTCAATGCAGCAGGAACAAGCGACGGCTTCTGCGTTTGTAGTGGTAAGACGGTAGACGGCTAAAGCAAAGAACAAATAAGTTAATAACAGAAACAAAACCGTATTGGTTTGGTAAAAATAACGTTACTTACCGTAAAATCTCAAAATAATTTTCAATAACAATTCCAAGGTAATAGTCCCATAAACGGTAAAAGACATTTTAATCACTCAGGCGCAAAACAATGGAAATTTAAGTGAAATCACTATGCAAGGATTTACAGAACATTCAAACAATATAAAGATTTTGAATGTTTACAATTTATGGGACGTTAAAGTAAAGCCCCCGTGACTGAAAAATAAAATTAAGAAATATGTACTAACCACTATAGCAGGAACCCCACAGTTATTTATCGCATGATTCGGCGACTTTTTCTGATTCGAGAGTCTTGGCTTTTGTTTGCTAGTCTGTCGGCCAGCATCTAAAAACACAATACTCAGTAGAATATTCTCACAATCAGATACCACTCTGAATGCACAGCTGTCATATATTATGTATTCGCAAATCTATGTGACAATATTAAATTTCGAAAAATCAAGCTGATGTCAAGCGGTTTAAATATCAAAAAAGAACATTACATTGGTCTTACCGCAGCAGTCTTACACTAAGAGGTCTTACCGCAACAGGAAATATTAACAAAACTACTACTTATAATAAATTTAATAATAAATTTTATTTATCAGACAAATGTAGGCTAACACTCTTATTGTACCGAGCAATAATATATTACAAACTTGTCTTTAGCAAACTGAACTTTCTTAGTAGCAAATACACTACATCTAACAGGCAAGAGATTAGACACAAAACGTTTGATACTCATTAAAAATTGCCTGAAATGTCTGAAAGTATGTACAAACAGCGCAAATAATGTACATCACCCAAACCCAAAAAGCGAACTGTAAGGACAGAACAAACAAGTTATTTGTGAAAATTTGTGAAAAAGTCTTTAAATAAAAATGTATAAAATGAAGAAAAGCTATTAACATATGTATAATACGAAAAATGATAATTATAATATAAACGACTGTGAGAATTCAGTATGTACAACCATACTGCTTAAATAGAAAACTAATGCAGTTACTAAAGTATAAATTAAAAATACATGGTATTATGGAAGTTCAAAACGCGAACAAATTTACCTACACATATAGTTTGTCCCTACATAAAAAATGTATGCAAGAAATTTTTCTATTAATATTATATATAGGACTTAAGTTATTTTACAATAATACTCTTTGATATGAGAAAACTTAATGCTTTTAAGAGAATAACAAACTCAATCTCCAGTCTATCGTAATTTAAACTAAATTTATATTTTCCTTTTAGAACTTCCTAACAAGTTTGCAGATAATATTTAAGACCCATTTGCAGCTGTACTTTACTTTCGATTTTAATGTCCAACTAATTGGATCGAATTGATTTTTGTTACTGATTATTTCTAGACGTCTGAGTGCAAACAATGTGAATGGTGGCCAACACTTGGCGGCCAATTACTTTCAAACTAGCTCTAGCTGATTATGAAATTTACTAACCATACAGTTACCACTACCAAAAATCTACTTAATTTGGAATTTCATTAGGCATCTACTACATTATAGAAAACAGGGTTATAATAATTTATGTGATGTGACTGATCCTAATAGAAATTCCAGTATAAAAGACAATAATGCAATACTCTACGATAATTACAGCCGCCACACACATTGTCTGCATTTTAAATGTAGCGTTATGGCAATTGAAGAACTTAACTAACGACAAGTGTACTTATTAGACATTAGATGGAACAAAATAGTTGCGGTAAGACCTGTATGGCTGGTACGGGCTGCCTCCTAATCACTCGTGTGCACTCAGAGCTGATCCGGGGAATTTATAATAAAATATTTCCTGGCAACACAAGCTCTTCCAAACAACAATACAGTCCAATGCTCGAAAAATATTTTGACCCAACATATTGATGGAGTTTGTAAATGTTTATGCGTTTGGAAGAACATGACAAAACCAACAATAAATGGACCATACAGATACTTAAGCTAAGTTGGAAAAACTGTTTGTTTCAATAATCTTCCACATATATCTGGCGAACTCGTTTCGAAAAAAAAATTGATCACCAGGCGTATAACTAAAAACATTAATATCAAACTGGCTCGTGTTCCAGCTAACACTAGTGCTTCTGGAAGAATACCGAATGCCTATTCTCTTTAGCAAAATTAATCAATTTCGTAGTGTTAACGGCGAAACATTAAATGTTTTCCTTTGAACTCTACTTAATTAATTTCACGCTTAAACGGGTTTCACTAATTTAGAGGCAGTATGAACAAATGTTTGTACTCGTTACTTTTAACTCAGACTTCTTCCTATTTTGTTCCAAACCGTACTATTTTGGAATGGTATGGCGAACTGTTCACACAATACGTGTTCTCCCCACCGTTTAATCATCCGAATCCGAATAAAATATCTGATAATAACAAGTAAATTAAACAAAGTGCCGACAGCCTGAGCAAGTGGCTAATTAAAAACCTTACGGGTATTTATTTTGCCCACACATTACGCTTCTGAATCGTATTGTTGGCTTTGAACAAAAAGAAGGCAGTCTGAGGGGGCCTTACCGTACTGTTAATAAACAGCTTTAAATAAATCAATCTCCGCCTGCATTATGAGATTGGGTGTTTTTAATAAATAAATATTTGAAGCTTTGAAAAATCGAAAACTGACTATTAACATTTAGTTCTCTCTAAAAATTGGCTGGTAAAAACGAAGTTTTATAATACGTTGAAGCAAACGCTGTAGAACAAATAATCTTCAAAGTTTTTTGTCTTGAGTAATATCGAAAAAATTCGAATGTTTTTCGCTCTATCTAGTTGCTAATAAATAAACTTATAGTAAAAACTGGACGAGAAAATAATCACGAATTCACGAATCGCAATGGCACGAAATCTCTACGCAAAAGAATAGTGTGCTTAAAGTCTTATTTTTTACAACGGGGGGTTTTTTGCGAAGTTCACTTCATTATAAATTTCCAATGCTAAACATAATCACAGAATCACTGAACGTAAAAATAATGACCCATAAAATCGCTCACATAGTCCATTTGTAAGATCACTATTGAGAAAATAATTTTTTGATTTTATCTCGACATGATACGAATTATTTCGCAGCAAATCCTCGAGAATTAAGCTGGTACGACTTTTTTGTTGCCAGTCAGTCGATACAATTGCGAAATAACGAAAAGAGAGCGTCTTGCCGAATCGGCGTGCTAACCTGCTTCACTATCGCTTGAATCACTCGAACTGCTACTCAAAGACGAGGAGGAACTGTCACTGTCCGAGCTAGAACTAGATGAAGACATTCGACCCGCACTTGTGCTAGTTGCATCTGCTTTGATGTCTGAAACAACAACAATCACAATATAATCCATATTACAACATATTTCGGCAAAAAAAGTATTAACTACAAAAATATTAGAGTTGACTGATTTCTCATGGGGGTAACTGGGTCGTAAGTATAGCTATTCTTACCTTTCTTAAGCGTTTTTTTGCTTGGCCCAATTTTATGATTGACGTCCAAAAGTCGATCTTCAAGCTCCTTCTTTTTCTCAGCGATTTGTTCTTCTTTTGATTTGCCCGGTAACTTTTTGTCTATAAAGTAAAACAAACATTAACAAAAATGCCCCAAGCAAATTATTTTGCTAAAGCACACGCTAATCACCAGAAAAGCTCTCTACTGAAGGCGACAAGAAATGATTATTTAGGTATTGTTTAATCCAACCGTTGGAAAAGCAAGTGTGATTTCAGTTATAGAAAAATGTTTCAATTTGGGACGTTTATAAGACAATTATAATCAATACTAAGCAAATCTCTTTTCACTTGAAATTCAAGACCAAGATAAAAAAAAATAAGATGTTTTAATCTGATAATAATGGCCCTAGTGGTTCAACCAGTCCATTAAAGTAGATTTATGGCTAAGTTCACTTAGAATGAAAACTGGTTAAAAGCGTCCCCATCGTCTCAACAAGTCTCCAAGCATGCAGCACAACCGATGAATGAAAAATGATTTAGGAATTGGTAATATGGCGTTTTGTGACCGAAATAATTTTATTCAATTAATTTAAAAAAAAAGTAAATGCTCGTAGCACTTACTTTAAAACATGCATGATTGAGCACGATCACAGAAGAATAATATTTGCAAGTGAATAAGTTTGAATAATATTAAGTGAATATTAAAACTAGTAATTGTGAACGAAGAAGCCAATGAACTGAAGACATTGATGCGCAGGTGAGCGGTATTAAGCAACGCCAATGTTTTAACAAAGCCATCGCGCCATTCAAACATGGGAATTGATAATGAACCATCCTCAACCCAAACATCTACCATGCTTAAAACAGAATATGTAGTTCCAATTACGTACGCCTGTCGTAGCACAACGTAAGTAAAATATAAAACTAAAATCTCCACTACGTCGGACAAAACCAAAGTTCATTAAGCGCCTCTAACCTGTACGTCGTTTTAATATTATAATTTTAACGTGCTTCTTTTATATTTGTCGATGCTATTTTAAGCTACACCCAATTGTAACATACAGTGAGCGGCAAATGTATTGCATATTATTTAAAAATCAAGTGTTTATTTTTAGAAACACTGCTCAGACCCTTATTTTCATTTCGCCAGTCACCTTTTTTGAATATAAAACCATCTTTTTGAAATTTGATTCAGTTCTCCACAAAATTTTAATCGTTTTCTATGTAGCATACCCTATACTTAAAAAATTAGTAGAAAGTCGTAAGCCTAATTGCCACTCAACCAAGTGTCAATTTCTCAACCGATAAACACCTGATTCTTAAATAATTAAATGCAATACATCTGACACTCACTGTATGTATACAGATTTGATGAATGTTCATCAAACCAGTTGCTTAAAACCATTCGCAGCCATCGCCAACCGGCACGCAACCAATGTCCGTCATAGTGAGAATCATTTCATTTTAAGGTAATAAAATAAAAAAGTAAATTTTGATCAGCCAAATCGAATTAAACTCCCCTCTGAAAATTGAGACTACTTAATAATCGTTATTCAGTTAAAAATTATTGTTCGTTTGAAGTTCGCGCAGAAAATTGTGTTGTGCTACAATATGTGATTCGATTTAGGTCATCTGCAATTCGATGTGGAAAAAATCAAAACAGACGCAAGGTAACGGAACTTACAGTAGGGCTTACGCGGCTTTTTTCTGAGGCACGATGCCACATAACACTCCAATTCGCGAAGAGTTGAAGGTTTCAGGGTTTCAAAGTCGATTTCAATTTCGTCGGGATTTGAGTCTCTCAGAGAAGGCTCTCTCGACTGGATGATATGCACCACACGACCCAGCTTGTCTCCTGAAAACAAATAAAATATACCGTAAATGAGATTTTGAGTTTGCGCTTAATGGATGTACGATAGTCTTTTGCGCCAAATGTACTATTTATTTCTACGAACAAAGTTTGGATCATAAATGTTTTTAAATTAGTATAAACTAACCTGGTAGCTTGTTAATATCCAAAGACAATTGTCTTTTTTCATCGTACGACATCGGTTTGGCGCTGTCCTCATCCTCAGAGTCGAATGCTGGAGCCACGGGGGCCACTTGAGCCTTTTTGCGACCAGGGCCTGAACTTCCAGCCGATGCTCCCCGGGTAGTTTTCGCCCTTTTGGCTGGAGGTCCACCTGTAGCCCCGCTGGCCAGTCCCGCCCCTCCTGTTTTTGGACCTCGAGGACCTGGAAGAATCATATCTTTCGTTGCGACACAGAAAACACATTTCCATAGCATGCCTATTGATTAAATAGACGCGATAAGAGCCTTTTGAGATTTGCCATTCTTCTAGTTAGGCATCTGATGGTAGTTTGATTATTTTTCTAGAGAATGTAACATTGATGCAGTTTAGAACTACCAAAAGATAAATCCACCAGTCAAATACAGTAAGGTCAAACAGAAGCTGTGCGTGCGACTTGATATACAAAGCAGTGCTGAAATGAATATGCATTAAACACCTTCTCCTATACGTTAGGTAAGTACCGCGGCGAGCGTCGCCCGTCGAACATTATCGGCATAAATGGGGTGTTAGCAGAAGATTACGAAATGAACGCAGCCATAAAAACCGGACAATTTGTTGCTGACAAACAAATTGCTCGTTCAACTTTCGTTCATACTTTTTTTTCTTCAACTTGGCCATTTCAGTCAAACGGGCTTCCAACAGCTAGATGTTCATTTGTTAACGTGAAGCTTTATAAAAAAAACTTATCTATCTAATAGTACATTTCTCACTTTTTGGGCAAAAAATGCTTGTATATACTAATTGAAAATCTGCTTTTATAACGACACACTACCTTCGCGATAAAAAAAAAACGTTCAATTCGCAATTAAAAACAACGTGTTTTAACGAGTTCAAACGTGCTCATTCTGCTCCTAACACCCCAATACTTAAAACGAAAATCCGGTAGGCAGAGCTCGAATTTTGCGCCAAGAGGTACTTACTTAGCCTATATAGGAACGGAAAAATAGAAAAAAAAGATAAAATTAAGATCAGATCTAGTCACATGCACTATAAACAACTTGGATGTTGGTTTTAAAGCAGTAAATATTACGATTTGATATTGCAATTAACAGAGCATAATTCTGGATTGCGGAAAAAATTGAAGGCTTTACAAATAATTATTATGATATTATCATTCCTGAGTCTCAAAGTGTGAAATAAATATTTTGAATATCGTTTATTTCATTACGTTTCGGAGAAACAACAGCGCCATCAACAGATTTAAAATTTACACAAACTACAAACACCAATTCGCAATTAAAACATGTTGTATAAAAACTATAATTTGTAAAGCTTTAAAACATTCATCAGTTCTTGAAGAACAAAATCTTCCCTTTGGGAGAGCAAAATATTTGAAAAACTTACCTCATAATTGGTAAACATTAGCGTTCTTTTAGGTCTTTACCTTCTTGAAATCATAAATTCGTCTGAATTATTTTCTACATTTGCGAGAATGGTATGTATGTATTGAGATAAGCGGAAATAGTTTTAATTTTTCACTAGTGTACTGGGTGTTCTATACTTATAGCTTCATTAGGATTTGGTAAATGTTGCTAAGGTTGTCGGTATATAATCTGGATTCATTAATTTCTGGAATTATCATAAAAGAAGAATCCAAGAAATGATACAAATAAAAAACCATCCAAAAGCAGTAAATTTCAGATCAGATACCGACAACCTTAGCAATATTTACCAAATCCTAATAAAGTCATAAGTATAGAACACCCAGTACACTTGTGAAAAATTAAAACTATTTTCTCTTATCTCAATACATACATACCATTCTTGCAAATGTAGAAAATAATTCAGACAAATTTAAAGTTTCAAGAAGGCAAAGACCTAAAAGAACGTTAATGTTGTTTACCAATTATGAGGTAAGTTTTTCAAACGTTTTGCTCTCCCAAAAGGAAGAATTTTTTTCCCTCAAGAACTGATGAATGTTTTAACGCTTTATAAATTATTGTTTTTATACAACATGTTTTAATTGTGAATTGGTGTTTGTAGTTTGTGTAAATTTTAAATCTGATCATGGCGCTGTTGTCTCGCCGAAACGTAATGAAATAAACGATATTCAAAATTTTTACTTCACACTTTGACTGAGACCCAGGAAAGATAAGAATATAATAACAATTACACACAGTCAGGAAAATAAATCAGAATTTACAAATAATAAGATAAAAAATGTCAACCAAACGCTGATAAATCTAATATTCCTACAAAGCATGACATGCATTAATACTACTACTCTTTGCTACACCACTCTGGTATGGATGGATAAATTCACAATGCAGATAATTTTTCACGACTGAAGATAATTCGTCTGTTCTCACTCCTAACCAACATCCATGTCATTTGAGTCCTCCATTCGACCTTACCTTTGCTCTTGGGTGCCCGCGTGCCGGCGGCGCTTCCCGTTTGCGTACCGCCTCGTTCGCCCCCCGTCTTGACGTCAGCTGCAGCTTCCACCCCAACACTGTCTGGGGCAGTTGGAAGCTGTTTACCCCCACCACCGACCCCACCAGGTCCGAAGTTTGACGCAGATTTTCCGCCTGAATTAGCACAAGAAATATCGATCAACAATAAGACTTTTAAACAACATCGAACATAAACCAATCCCTTCAACCATCTGAATCAGTCGTTTCCTATTATTTTTAACCCCTTTGAACCCATAATATCCTGTTCACGCTAACTAAACAGGTCCTTCCAGTGCCAATCAACCAAATCCAAATAACAACCTCACAGGAAGTCATTGAACAAAGTGACAATAAGATGGAATATAGTACCCGTTCCAGCATAGTACTCATTGCCAACGATTAAACTTGTTAATAACAATGTAACTGCACTTACCGGTACTACTTCCAAGCCCAGATAAATTCGGCATTGAGCTTTTCTTAGGTTTATCTTTTTTCTGCTTTTTCTTCTCCCGTTTCCTCTTCGAGCTCTCCTCAACGAATTTCTTCATTCTCTCCTGCATGACCGTTAACTGGAAAATCAGCAAGATGAAGCAAGAAAACACGACAAAATAATAGCAGAGAGCGCCATATTTATTTTCAATGTTAAAAAGTCCATTAATAGAAACATCAATGGGTTCAAATAGATATTACATCATAACGCATAAGTTCTATGTCGTAATTGTACAAAACCTACCTCTTTCTCAAGTTGCTTGATTTCCTTATTTCGTAGCTCCTCTTCGGAATCTTCCGACTCACTAGACGATTCCGAACTTGACCCAGAAGAAGACGACTCTTGTGGCAGCATGGCGCTCATCCTATGCAATTCACGTAAATCAGGATATTTTGCCAACCTGCAAGAAGTAATGCGAATTTTAACAGGTTGGACATTTAAGAAAAACTTAACAGCAGAATGCCACGCGTGGTTTTCAAAAAAAACACCGAACAAATAAATAATCGAAGCAACCAAACATAAATACACAAATAACTTACTTGAGGTCAAAGATGTTCTGCAACTTTCGAGCCATTGCCACGACATCATGATCCGCCGGATTGTATTTATAACAATTCAAAAAAATAAGCCGGACATCATCAGTAAATTCCTTGGCAGTATGGTATTCTCGATTGTCCAATTTTTCTTTTATTGTGCCAAGATCCATTGGATGTTTGATGATATCATGGTAATCATGCAAACCCAACATCTCGGCATCCACAGGTTTATAGAAGGGCCAAGCGTAGGTCTGGAAAGTGATTCATATTAAGCACTGATAAACACTAATAATAAACAACTAATAACTAATGACATAAATTGAGATTTAATAACTCATTAGACTTACACAATGTTTCTTGGAAAAAAGTTCTTTCAGAATCTCACTACACGCTTTTAGGTGGTCATTGAGTTTCTCTTTCGACTTTTGACCAAGAACGCCTGGCTGCCCTACTGCAGATGGAATTCCAGACCCTGAAGCTCCAGTGTATGGACCGTTTGCATCCAGCGCCTGACAGAAAAACAAACCATAATTTAACAAACAGTTAACAACAACTTACGCTTTCCCACACGCCAAATACCGAGGAAGGACTACATTCCTACCACGCATGTAAGATAGACAGGACACATAGACACAATAAATAACTGGTTTACTCAACATCGGTTCAAATTGAGCACGAGTTAA